AAACTGGCCCTCAATAATTATAATAAAGTCCCTGCAGTTTTCTTGGCAGGATTTCAGAAGTGGTTTGCCATGGCCTCCTCCTTCCTAGGGCTGAGAGAGGGACTGCCCCAGGGTCACCCAGCTTGCTTTGAGCCTAAGACAGACCTAGGACTCACGGTCTTCTGGTTTCTAGCCTGGTGCCTTAACCACTACACCAAACAGGCTCTCTTTCCTTCAATTAAATGACTATAAATAAGGCTGGGAAATTCCTATTACTGTTCCCCAGGTTCTGTATTTACCCCAGATGAGCATTAAAGATGTTTCACTGAAATGGGTGTAATTTTGCTTCCTTGGTCTCACCAGCTACGTGGTGCTTGACCACCACCAATGCCACTTAGTATCTGCCCTTTTGCTTTATTCATAATTTTCAAATCATTGCTCATAAAACCAAGTTAGTATGATCTGGTTTGAGCCCATTATTCTCACTTTCAGGGGAAGCTGTCATCAAACCATAGTAGCACATGGTCAGCTATTTTCCAACAGCACTGCTACATCTCCTAGCAAAGGTTGGTCTGAATCATTAAACTTTCGTTTCAGAGCTACAGGCTGGGATATAATTTCTTGCAAAAAGAATTCCCCCTGGATATCCCCATGCAAAGGAAGGAAGAAAAAGTATCCATCTACTGCCTTGAGAAATAGAGGGCAATAAAAAGGAACGGGGCAGAGAACAAGCTGTAAAGATACAGCTAACTGAAATATCAACAACTTGAATCTACAGCAATGCTGATCATGCAATAACCAGTTGATCAAAAGACTTCAAAAGTTAACTCTGCAGCGGAAACGCCCAGCTAATTTCAGGATCCTGATGTGGGAAGGGAAGCTAGGAGGGCTTTAACACATGGCTTTCAGTTGCAGTTCCACTCTGGATCAGATATTCTCCCCTCTCTTTTTACCAACATTGCAAGAACTTCCACAGGCATAAGAGCAGTTGGATCTTTAATCCCAAGAGCAGGCACAGGACTTGGATCCAGTCTGGGACTGTCATACAGGACACAAAGACCCCCATTCTCATGCAAGGGTCTTGACTGAATCGGCTCCCTGCCTCTGCTGTTTCTGAAGAAAACAATCAAACTGCTTGTTGTGTTTGGCTCTTAAGGCACCCCTGTACTAAACTTCCCATTTCAGGTAACGGAAGGTAACAGAATGAAGAAAGATCAATCTAAGTCAGTGTTTCTCAACCTTGTCAACTTTAAGATATGTGGACTTCAACTCCCAGAATTCCCTAGCCAGCCATGATTAGTGTTTCTCAACCATATATCTTAAAGTTGACAAGGTTGAGAAACACTAATCTAGGGTTTTCTGGGTCTAATTAGAATGCACTTGACACTAATTTTGAGCAGGAGAATCTCTAGACTTGGTATTTTTACCACCATTACATTAACTTCATTCTAAAACAGGCTAGACATTCCATGGGAAGGTTAAAACTACACCCACAAGACAAAGCACACAGTTTAGTCAAAATGTTCTTTAAACTAGTAACAACAATGACTTATCTGTCATATCCCCCAACAAAATCAGTGCTGTGCAAAGAACTGAATGCCTGTTTTTTTCCATACCTTGGAATTTTTATTGCAATGTTCAGAGGTCAGGATTAATCCGGGCAGACTACTGGGTAAATCCAACCGTCGGAAATACCACACGAGGTTCCAGAAGACAATGGGATGATGGTCCACAAACTCTGCCACCGTTATCACGTGATCGCCTTCGTTTTCCAGTAAGCTTTCAAGTTCTTTCCATACAACGAGAGGACTTAGGTAAGGAACGGTTATGGGCTCCGGACTGGGCAAATGCCACTCCAGCCCCAAAGACTCCTGGGATGCAAGATAGGGCATAAGAAGAAAGGTGAGTGAGAAATCCCTGTTGAATGATGATCAGAGAAAGGGTTCCTTAGTGGGGGGCCCCTCCTCTTGAATTTTCAGGTGCCACAAATATGCCGTTTGAGTTTCTTCATTTAAAACGTCTGCTTTGACTATTTTTAACCCCGGATACATTTTGGTCCCATGGCGTATCATGGTTCAATTGTATTTTTAATGGTTTCTCTTGCTCTTCCTCCTAAAGGAGTCCAGAGCGCTGTTCAGAAATAACGTAAAAGACCGGTGCTAGTAAAACAAGCAGTAATAAAACCACCAGTCCAAGAGCATGAATGATTTACTTCCCACTGAGATTCCTCTGATGGTTTTCAGCAAAATGATTTTGTAATCATCACAGAAAGACTTTATCTAAGCTACATTTGCTCTGAAAATCCAGGTGAGGAACACAACGCTCGGACCCTTACCGTTCTCCCCTGGAAAGTCGTAGGCAGGCTCCCTGTGGGCACCACATGGTTGTGTGTGTGGACTCCCACCTCCTCTATCTGCAGAGAACTGTACGCACTGACGCTTCTCGACAGGGGGTGGTCAAGCTGTTCATTTTTGGCTGAAGGATGCCTTCGCTGAGAAGGGATCTGAATGCTCTTGGCACAGAGGGTGTCCAAATGTTTTGTCTTGCAGCTGCTGAAAGAGTTCACAGGTTGTCTTGAGAAATATATACTTGAGAAGATTCCAAGGAGAAAGAAAGATTCTATAATCTAATAATTAAACAGGAACACAAGCACTCTTTCTTCCCCTCGTATCCAAGCCTTTCTTGCAAGCCTCTTCACCATTTCTCCCCACTCTTACTTTTTAAAAATTTCCTAAAAATTACTTGATGGGCTCAAATTATCAACATACACTGCTGCCACTAATTCATTAAAATGATTATTCATGTCAATTTTTTGGAGTCCTTGGGGTTCTCTGAGCTTAGTTGTTTTCTTGCAAACGTTTCATTACCTGGCTAGGTAACATCTTCAGTGCTAGAATGGAATTGGGTTTGCTCTCTGTTTATATACAGTGGCATGCCCTGCCAGTGTTGGTAACACTCACAACATATGGACAGACTTAACCATAGTTTCACCTGGGAAACTGTCAGCATCTTAGACC